AAGGGAAAAAAGCTAGAATCAGTATTAAGGCCTTACAAGATGCAAAAAGTAGAGGTGGGCTAGCGCTTCCAAACTGGGAATTATATTATTGGGCAGCCAACTTATTATGGTTAAAAGACTGGGTCAATTTACGGAATAAAAGAACTCTAGCCTTGGAAGGGCACGACCTTCAGAGAGGATGGCACGCATTTCTATGGGATGTGGGGAAAACTAAATAGGCGTACTTTCATATACATCTTATTAGAGATTCACTATTAACTAATTGGAAAAAAATATGTAAAAAACATTATTTAAAAATTCCGATTTGGCTTTCAACAATGGAGGCAATGGTTCATCCCAACAATTTGGATATAACAAAAACGACTAAATATAAAGATTTATTAGATCCTTTAGGAAAATTAAGAACTCGACAGGACTTACAGGAACAGGGATTTAAAATTGATCAGTGGTTATATATACAAATCCATAGTAGATACAAACAAGATATCAAAGAGTTTGGAATCTATAGCAAATTACAACACTTAGATAAAATCTTATTAGGATCAAATAAAAAGAATATCTCTAAATTTTATAAATATTTATTGGAGGTAGAATTAGAGCAAGAGATAGTGAAAGGGAACATGATAATGTGGAGTAGGAATATTGGAAGAAGCATTACATTAACAGAATGGGAAAAGATCTGGAATAGAATCATTAAGATTACGAAATCTGCGGCGTACAAAGAAAATATGTATAAAATGTTATATAGATGGCACTTACCCCCTTCGAGGTTAGCGAAAATGAACCCAAACTCTAGTCCAAAATGTTGGAAATGTAAAAACATAGAGGGAACCTACTTTCATATGTGGTGGACCTGTAAAGAAGCCCAGAAATACTGGCAAAAAATTAGAAAATGGCTGGAGGAGATAACCAAAGAACAAATTGAATACAAACCAGAGTTCTTCCTACTAGGGATCTCTGATAAACATTTTCCTAAAAAGACGAAATATATAATAATTCATATTCTAACTGCGGCCAGATTAGCATTTGCCCAGTGCTGGAAATCATCCCGTTTACCTACAGATCAATTGGTCATTCAGAAAATATGTGACTGCGCAGAAATGGACAATTTAACCATAGCTCTTAAAAATAAAGAGTCTTCAGCATTTGATAATAATTGGAATGCGTGGTATAATTGGTTATATCAGAGATAAACTGTTCAGTGAGCATAAATAAGCATAAATAACCATAAATAGTGATAAGATGTGTATATTTAAAGTAAGGTAGGAGAATTGGATCTTGTAGACTGTCAAAAAGAATATCTGTCTGGTTTTAACGTATTTTCTTTTTTCTTCCGTCTCTTTGTTTTTTTTCTCTCTTTTATACTTCTTTTTCTCCTTTTTCGGTCGCAAGACCGAGCGTTTTCGTTTTTGTTTTTCTTTTCCTCTCTCTTTCTCTTCTTTCTTTCTTCTTTTTCTCTCTCTGTTTCTTATGTAATGTTGTTATGTTATTTTTTTAATTGTAAATTCAATAAAATTTATATATATAAAAAAAAGATTTCTTTTCAATTAAATATCATACTTCCTTAGGAACACTTGTAATATTTCTATATTTTTCCCCATATTTCTTTCATATTTCTCTTCACTTAAATTTTTATAAATCATTAATAACAATTAAAATGTTCCCATCCTTTCCTAATTTCATTCTCTCATTCTCTTCATTTCATTTCATTTATTTATTAACAAACATTCCATTACATTACAATAAGTATTTTATCTATCACTTTAATCACACTTGTTTCATATTTTCTAAATTCATTTCTATTTCTAATATAACAATGCTATCTTATGTACCCTTGCAGAATCCTCTCATTCAATTAAATTTTCACCCCTATGTCTTCTAAATAGGCTTATACCTTTAATCCTTGTACGTTTTATCTGTTTCTCTATATCCTATTTCTGTCCTTTATGACTTCTTTTCCTTTTCTTCTTCCTGCTCCTCTTTTCCATCCCCTTTTTGACCCCTTGTCTCTCTAATTCTAATTCTCTCTTCTGTAATGCTCTCTCCTGTTTCTTCCTTATATTGTAATTGCTTTTCAAACTATTCTTTTTGTTGTTGTTTTTTTAAATCTTAAATTTTTCACTTTCTTTCCCCCCTTTCCTTTTTCCCCCCCACATAGAATTACTTGATCATTAAAGATGGCTTCTTCTTTGTCCCGCCCTTCTTGCTCTTCAAGCATTTCTTGTTGTTTCTCATAGTTCAAGATCTCCATTTCTAAAAATTGAAATACGAAGCCCAAAAAACCTCTTCCTTCTTGTGCATCTTCTTTCTGTTTTTTAAGTTCCATTTTCAGTTCTTCCAAGAGTAATGCCATTTTAAACACTTTTAAATAACCACCCAATTGATTTTAATCATTAAAATCCAATAACCAAAAATCAAAAAATCACCAAGTAATCCAAGGCTGTTTCTTTTTGTTTCTTTTTTCCACTTTCTCTTCCTGGGGTTCTATTATCTTGTTACAAAGTTTCAGTTAGAATGTATTTTTTTAGGAATCTTGTTAAGGTTTCATTGTTAATTCCTTTTACTTCCAGGTGGTCTCCAATTTTCCAGATCTCAGCCTTTTGTTTTTTCCTTTTCTCTCCTTTCCTTCTTTTAAAAGTTTTTAAATATCCAATAAATCTTTATTATCCCTTTGACTTTTTTTCAGCTTGAATGCCTATTAATGTCAAAGTGAATTTTTTTCAATTTCTTATTTAAATCTCTTAGCTGTCAGTATGGGGAAAGAAAAAAAAAACCAAATCTTTTCCCTTCTCTCTCTCCTTCGCCGCTTCAGAAATCTTCTTTGGGAACAATGTTATTCTTTATAGTTCAAATACCAAGGTACCTTATGTTGTTGCTTTTTCAGTTCAACCCATCAGTCAAAGCTTTCTCTTCTTATCTTCCTCCTGCACAATCTTTTCCAGTCGGGTTCTACTTTGAGGTGGTCATTTCTGACCAGCTCTGCAACTGCCTTCAGGAAAGAGAGTAATGGCCAGCTGGGGAGGAGAGATGCAGCTCTCCTTGACCTTGCTGGTGGTTTCCCCCCTCTTCACCACCTCAACAGGATGGCTTAGCCCCGAATCCAGCCGGCTCGGGGTACTCCGGCAGCGAACATGGATCGAAACCACGCACAATTGCGGATTTCGGTCTGTCGCCGAAGAAGCCCAAACTGGAAGTCCATGAAGAAGTTCTTATTACAATACGCCAGTCATTGCAGCATCAGAAAAGTTGGATCTCAATGGCCCTTAGTAGGGATGATTTAATGCTGCCTCCTCACTGCACTTCATGCTGCTTTGATGAGTGATGTGCAAGCTGCTGCAACTGATTTGGCAGCTGAATAATTTTTTATCTAAAAACCATTTTTCCAGACCTTCTTGGGAACACTAGAGTTCTTAAAAGGATGTACTAAGGGCTTCTTTATTTCAAGGGTAATGGCACCATATTTTTAAAAGTGCTTCATTATAAAGGTATGGTAAAAGGAAGAGCAGTGAAAAGAGATACTTTTGTTCCCTTTTACTTGATTTTGCTTGAAGTAATACAGGCATAAGATCGCATCATATGGATATCAACTAAAATATAAAACATAATTTTTGGAATTACAATCCTGATTTACAAATCAAATAATACAGAGGTGCAGAAGCCAGAAAAGCCTATTTAAAATTCTGATATTTTCTTTCAATTATATCTCCATCTTTATTCCCACAGTAAATTTGTTAAGAAGGAAATGTACAATATGCTGTACAATATAATTTTATGAATATTACCAGAGCATCCATGGGTCAAAAAGTCATGATAGCAACCACAACCATGCAATTGAAATTCTGCTCCTTTTCTGCATAGAACTTTGTGTGATTGTGTGGTTGTATTACCAACTCTTGGGCTAGAAAATAACAATCTGTAAATTAAATCTAACAAGTAGCTGAGTAATTAAATAAAACCAACTGTTCTTTTCATCCTCCTTCTTTTTAAATGCCAGGGTTGTGGAAATGCAGATTGTTTAAAAATATTTTGCCAAGTTGGTCGCCTAGAGAGGGGAAAAACTGCAATTCTCTATTTGAAATCTCGCCTTTGGGCTCAGACTTTCATGAGTGTAAGTATGTGGTACTATTCCTGCAGTTTCACTCTGCTCCTGAGTACAGATAATAACTAATTCTAATAAAACATTTCTCTGTAATTATTCCCATGACAGAAAGAAAACCAAAACCACTCCTATTCTCTCAAGTCATCAGCTTCTTTCAATGTCATTGAATTCCCCTACAAGAATCTTTCTTTTCCTGAAGATGTCCACAATTCTACAATAGTAAGCTGTTTGATAATCAAAAGTAGTTTTAACATTGTCAGTGTAATTAATATGAAATGAAACAATAATCTGATCAGCTTCTGCTGTTTTTGCTAGGCAATATTACACAGTTGGTAGTCAGATTTATACCACCTGATTACATGCTGCTTAAGTGTTTATTAAATTTGAGCCTTTTAAAGAGCTTTGGACGTGATCTAAAGACTGCTGTCCAATTTGGACTCAATTTGGACTTGTTAGGGGTGGAGGGGAGCAGCTGTTTACATGCGCAATAACACTTGTTTAGGTTTCCTATTTATAAAAATAATCTAGTTGTGACTAGACAGTCTTATCTGATAGCACAGTTTAGAACGGTCTTCACTTGGCAAATATGGACTGGATTTAATTTAGTTCCATAGAAGCCAATAAAATTAAGCCAGAAAACATTGTGCTTTAAAGGCCTTCTGCTTTGACTTTTATAATACCATGCACAAACATTTTAAGATACTCCTGTGCATTTGACTTTCAGCTGGATGGAGTATCTCAAGCAGAAGGCATAGTAGGAGATAAGTAGCCCTGAGGCTCTGTCTCCATCCCTTTGTTCAAGTTGTGTCTCCCTACCTTCTGAATTCCATATCCTTGTTGTCTTAAGGGCTAGAAACATACTTTTTTATTTCTATGAAATGTTTTAGAAAGTTTGACTTTACAGATTCTCTTGCAGCAGAGAGAACATCCATATTTAGGTTTTCAATCATAAACCAATTAAACTTTCTTCTACGACCTTCATTGTGGAATATGTAGTTCAGCCTATCAGATGGTGGTAAAAATCTTGTACCATGTTATGAAGTTACTATTTATATCCCTGACCTGGTTTATCTGACCTGGTTATCCCTCACCTGGTTTATCTGACCTGGTTATCATTTTTCAGTAAAATATGTTGACATTTCTTTCTTTTTTAGGTTACCACAAACATCTTGTGGGGTATTCAGCCAGCACCAATAACAGTGCAAGCATGGGTAATCATACTGGCTGTCTTAGCAGGATTATTACTTTTGGCCCTTCTAGTTTTTATAATGCACAAGGTAAGTGAGTATTACGGAAATCCTGTTCATTTTCATTAAAAATAAACTAAATGTTTGAAATAATCTCTCATTTTAATCGAGCGTAGAGACCTGAAAGTTCTGTAACTATGAACTGGGGGAGTATTGGCTTTGTTAGACTGAAATAAATAGATGGGTTCTCCTTGTGATTGAGAAAACTCACTTTTTGGAAAGTCTCCTCAAAAGGTAATGGGTGCAGTTCAAGATGCTGCCTATTACCTATAAAGACCTTCATAGCATAAAGCCTGATTATTAAGGGGCAGCCTCTCTCTGACTTTTTGGCCCTTCTGGAAATATCAAGGACAGTTGAGGTAATGTTCAATTACACTATGGAGCCTACAAAGCATGCTTTCTCCATGCCTGCCCCTGCCTGCCCTGTGGAGTTCCAGTAGGACCCTACCTTTCTAGCTTTCCAAAAGGCCTGAAAGATCTGGCTCTTCCCCCAAGTTATGAGCTAAGGTGTGACTGGAGCTCAGTAAAGGTGAATGTTCAGGTTTGAGGGATTCATATTTGGGAGCAACTAGAGTTATTTTGATGCTGATTGTATGGTTCTTTTGTTGTGGTTTTGTGAGCCACTCAGAATGACTGCATGTAAGATAGGTAGTCCTATAAGACGTCTAAAATAAATAAATAACAGTGGGACTCTTTTCCTTTCCATTGCTTAAAAAGAGGGGTGTGTGTGTGTGTGTGTGTGTGTGTGTGTGTGTGTGTGTGTGTGTG